GGCTCGGAGCATCGGCGCCTGGCCGGGCTCGCGCGGCTGGACCCCTCTCCGCCCCGACGGCAGGGCTGCTCGGGCGCCCGGCCCGTGACCGCGTCGCTCTGCCCGCAGGATCCCCGAGGGATGGGTCTCCCTGGGCCGCGTGGCCCCCGCCGAGAAGCTGAGCCTGACCTTCGCGCTCCGGCAGCGGAACGTGGGGCGGCTGAGAGAGCTGGTGCAGCGAGTGTCCTCGCCCGACTCGCCCGAATACGGTAACCCCGCCCGCCCCCAGCAGGAGCTGCTGCTTTGGGGCCCAGGTCCTCCTCCGCCTTCCAGCCTGGCAGTGGGGTGGTGGTGATGGTGGGGAGCCTTGATCACCCAGCAGGTGGGCAGGCTCGGGTAGGGAAGCCCTGGGAGACCCCAGCGTGAGGCCCAAGGGGGCAGCCCCGAGGAGCTTGCTTGTCCAATGGCCACAGGGCAGGCCAGCAGCCCCCCCCCGGCATTGGGGGTCCTTCCCTGAGGGGGTGGGAGGGCTGGCGGCGGCAGCAGGCTCTGCCTCAAAGGCTGGGAAGTTTCAGAGGCATAGCCAGCATCCCTAGACACGCTCTGCCACGGGTGGCACTAGCCTTGGCTGCCCTACCATGACGGGTCACCTGGAGGGGAGGCTGGAAGGGGGAGAGGAGCACGGCACAGCCAGCTCCCCAGACCTCCTCTGGGGATGGGATACAGGACCACATTTCTCCTTGGCCAGGGCACTTCCTCTCACTGGCAGAGGTGCGGGCCCTTGTTGCCCCATCTTCTCTGACTCTGGGCAGTGTGGACAAGTGGCTGGAGGCTCATGGGGTCCGGGCCTGCCAGAGGATCAGCACCATGGACTTCCTGCAATGCTCAGTGCCAGCCAGGTGAGTTGGGACGTTGGGCCGGTGCCTGGGGAGGCAGGCTGGCCAGCGCTGGCAAAAAGAGGGGGGCAGCCGCAGCTGTCCTCCAGCTGAGCCCTGGATTTCTGTGTGCAGTACTGCCGAGCGCTTGCTCCCGGGGGCACAGTTCCACCGTTACGTGAACAAAGCTCGCAGCGTTGTGAGGTCCCCTCTGCCCTATGCGCTTGACCAGGAGCTAGCAGAGCACGTGGATTTTGGTAGGAGGCCTTTGGTGGGTGGGCCGAGGCAGCTGAGTAGGGGGCTCTGCCTGGCTGTCGGGGCTCTCTCAGGCCACCCGATGTCTGTTCAGGTGGGTGGGCCTCGTCTGCTGAGGTGACAATCACAGCCCTTTCTGTCTTGCCCATTTTAAGTGGGGGGGCTGCACCGTTTCCCAGCCGAACGGAAGGTGGTGAGCCGGGCCTGGGCTGCGGAGCACTCGCCACCAGGACGGGGCGGGCAGTCCTCTTTTCACCTGGGCGTGACGCCGGCCGTGCTCCGCCAGCGATACAACCTGACCCATGCAGATGTGGGCACCTTCTCCCACAGCAGCCAGGCCTGTGCCCAGGTAGGAGCCAGCCTTCCTGCTCGGCACCCTGGGGGGCAGGGCGGGGCGGGCCCATCTCTGGGCCAGGCTCAGCTCTGGGCTTTCAGCATCCCCAGTGTGATCTCTGGGTCCTGCCTGGGGTCAGCCGCTAAGCCTCGCAGCCTCTTTCCCTCCAGTTCCTCGAACAGTACTTCCACCAGGCTGACCTGGCTGAATTCATGCAGCTCTTTGGGGGGAAGTTCCCCCACCACTCCCGGGTCGACCAGATCATTGGCCACCAGGGCTCTGGCCCGGCTGGCTTGGAGGCCAGCCTGGACGTGGAGTACCTCATGAGCACAGGCGCCAACATCTCCACCTGGGTCTTCAGTAATGCAGGTACTCCTCCTCTCCCTTGGGGCACCCACCTGCCCTCTTTTGCTCCACCAGGCAGCTGAGCATGGAGCACGGGTGAGCCCCCTGCTGGGGCCACGCACCCAGCCCTGGTCTCAGCTGGCCGCTGCTGCTGGTGGCCCAGCTGGGGAACGAGCAGGGTGAGCCAGGGCTGCTGGGCTCTGGTCTGGCCCCAGCGCTGCCCTCGTGGGGGCTGTGCCGGTCCAGAGCTGCTCCGCCACATCTGCAGGGCCCTTGAGTGCCCAGGGGCACCAGGGAGGGAGCCGGGGCAGAGCCGGGGAGGGTCGCCTGGCAGAAGGCCTGCTCATCCGTCCCTGTGGCCCTGCCAGGGCGCCACGAGAGCCAGGAGCCCTTCCTGGAGTGGCTGCTGCTGCTCAGCAACACCAGTGCACTGCCCTGGGTGCACTCGGTCAGCTACGGGGATGACGAGGACAGCCTCTCCCGGGCCTACATGCAGCGGGTGAACACCGAGTTCATGAAGGCAGCCGCTCGCGGCGTCAGCATCCTCTTTGCCTCAGGTGCGTGCGTGCGCCTCCCTGCCCAGGGCACAGGCGGCAGGCGGCGAGGGCAGGGGGCCTCGTCTCAGAGAGAAGCAGGCAGGCCGAGGCAGCCGTGCCAACACGAGCAGTGGGTGGCAAGCGCTTGCTGAGCACAAGGGTGCAGGGGCTCACGGCAGCGCCTCCTCTGGCTGCTTCTGGGACCGGTCTCGCTCGCTCGCTTCTTGGCCCCACGGTGCTTCCCTTGGGGACTTTCTGGCCTGGCTCCTCAGGAAAACCCCTTTCCTGCACGGAAGCTCTCGAGAATATGATTGTTTGAAACCCAGCATTGTTTAAAGGACTTTTTAACAAGAGATCCCCTTATTTAGAATGTGTGTTTCCTGTCTTCTAAACTCAGGCGGGTTCACAAGAGTGCGTTCAGGCTATACGCTCTCCAGTCGTGTCTGTACACGTGACACGCTCAATAGAATAAAAACGGAAAGAGCCAAACGCAGCAGTTCCGTTTCACAGCAGCCCTTCCGTCTGACCCCTGGGCCTCAGGAGAGAACCCAGAGAGGCGAGTCGGGACCTCTTGCAGGATAAAAGTGGCTCCAAACACAGGAGGAGAGTGACGAAGCTTGTTTTGACCCCCGTAGGTGACTCTGGGGCAGGTTGCCGGGCAGTCTCTGGGGGGCAGCACGTCTTCCGACCCAGCTTCCCAGCCTCCAGGTGAGGAGAAGGGCCTTGCGTGCTGGGGGGGCTCTGGCTCTGCTGGGCCTCTTTGGGCCCTTTCTGCTGGAACTGTGGGGCTGAGCCACAGGGGAGTGGCGGTTGCTGGGGGTTTTGGGGTTGCAGAGAGGAACGTCAGAGCTATGGTTTGCCTGGGGCTTCCTGTGCCCTTGCCCCGAGATGCGCGAGCGACCATCTCTGCCGCAGACCCCCCAGGGCTCCTGTCCCCTCCCCACCTCAGGTGGGCAGGTGGGCAGCTGGAGGGCTGCGCGCCAGCACTGGGTTTCTGTGTTTGCTTGCAGCCCTTTTGTGACGACCGTTGGCGGGACGTCCTTCCAGCAGCCCTTCCTGGTGGGCGCTGAGGTTACAGACTACATCAGCGGAGGCGGGTTCAGCAATGTCTTCCCAATGCCCGATTACCAGGTGAGCCGGCTGCTGCTCCTCACGGGACACAGCATCTGCCACCCCTGGCGGTGGCAGCGAGAGGCCTTTGGCTGCAAAGCACAAAAGCCACTGACTGGAGCCCAGGCGGCACAGAGGTCAAGGTGGGGGGCGGAGTGGCCCCCCGCGTGGTGGGGGGCTGGTGCAGAGATGCCTGTGGGGGAAGGAGCAGTGCATTGGAGCAGCAGTGGACAGGCTGCCCCCCTCCTGCCCGCAGGCGACAGCCGTGAAGCACTTCCTGAGCACATCGCCCCAGCTGCCACCTGCCAGCTACTACAACAGCACAGGCAGAGCCTATCCAGACTTGGCAGCCCTGTCGGACAACTACTGGGTGGTGACCAACCGCATCCCCACGCCCTGGGTCTCGGGCACCTCTGTGCGTATGCCACCCCACCTGCCTGCCTGCTCTGGGGTCTCTGGGACCGCCTTCCCTGAGCCTCTTGGCCGGGTTGGGGAAGCCTGCCAGACCCTTGTGACCTCCCTTGCCTCCCCCCGCTGCAGGCCTCCACTCCCGTGGTGGGGGGCATCATTGCCCTGATCAACGACCGACGCCTCCTGAGGGGGCTCCCTCCCTTGGGCTTCCTCAATCCTGCCCTCTACCGGCTCCAGGGAGGAGGGAACAGCACCGCCCTCTACGACGTGAGTGCACATGTCGGGGCGGGGGGTCCAGCTCAGCAGAACACTGAGCCCTCAGCGTGTGGGCAACAGTGGGAGCCCAGCCCTGGCGGGGGGCAGCCCGCAGCCTTGCTCTCCGGCCTGAAATGGGGGAGCAGGCTTTGCTGGGGCTGGGTGGGATCCTGGAGGTAAAAAGCCTCCCCTTCCTCTGCCTTCCCTAGGTGACCCATGGATGCCACCTGTCCTGTCTGGATGCCGTCGTGCAAGGCCAGGGCTTCTGTGCTGCCCCTGCGTGGGACCCGGTCACAGGCTGGGGGACCCCTAACTTCCCAGACCTGCTGCATGCCCTCCTGGGCTAGTGTGCCATGGCGCTGGCCTTTCTGGCAGCCTGCTTTGCGATCAGGATGGGAGAGAAGGGGATGGGGGGGGTTGGGTCTGGTGACTTGGAGGCTACAGTGGGGCATGGGGGGCACTATCCTGCCCCTGCCCCAGGGGGTTCCTCTTGTCCAAACGGGAACCGCAGCTGACACGATCTTCTCTCAGGGGGATCAATCCCAAGAAAATCAGCAGCCTCAGACTGGCGGCTGCCCACGATGCAACGCCGGCCCTTGGGGTGGTGGGAGGAAAAGAAAAAGGGGGGAGGGGGGGGGTTGGGTCTGGTGACTTGGAGGCTACAGTGGGGCATGGGGGGCACTATCCTGCCCCTGCCCCAGGGGGTTCCTCTTGTCCAAACGGGAACCGCAGCTGAGACGATCTTCTCTCAGGGGGATCAATCCCAAGAAAATCAGCAGCCTCAGA